GTCCGCAGCACACCAAAGAGCTCGAGCGGCTGAAGGGCGCGCCCGTAGACCCGGCGGCCCCCCTCAGGGACGGCACCGCGGGCCGGCTGGAGGCCAGCATCCCCGAGGAGAGCCAGGACCTGGCTCCCGACCTGCCGCCGCCGCCGGGGGCCAGTGACGAGAAGCCGGAGGCCGCTCTCGTCCCGCTGGAGGGAGCCCCGCTGAAGAGCCCCTCTCTCTTCCTCTGCCGCCTGGACCACACCAGCCACTTCTCGAAAGACTTCCTGAAGACCATCTGCTACACGCCCACCTCGTCCTCCATGAGCTCCAACCTGACCCGGAGCTCCAGCAGCGACAGCATCCACAGCGTCCGCGGGAAGCCGGGGCTGGTGAAGCAGCGGACGCAGGAGATCGAGACGCGGCTCCGGCTGGCGGGCCTCACCGTCTCGTCCCCGCTCAAGCGCTCGCACTCTCTTGCCAAGCTCGGAAGTCTTGACTTCTCCACGGAAGACCTGACCAGTGAGGCTGACCTGTCCACCATCGCCGACTCCCAGGACGCCAAGTCGAGCGAGGCCTCCTTCTTCTTGCACGAGCCCCAGGCCACCCCGCGGAACCCAGCCGCCCCCTCCAAACCATCAGGGAAACCCGCCCCCGAAAACTTGAAAAGCTCCTCATGGCTGAGCAAAAGCTGACCCGCCACCAACCGATCACATGACCCCTCCCTGAGTCTCACCACGGGTTTCAGTCAGCCCCTCGCGTCTCGATTTCTCTCAAACAGTGGCGTTTAAGAACTCGCAGCCCAGGAGGAAAGGGGAGTGTCTGTTGTGTGGCCAGCAGACTCTGAGCCCGAGTCATGCGTTTTCCAGGAGAATCGTGTCTGCAGGGCATGTACAGATATGCACACACGTCCAAGTGCGCTGTTCGCAACAGGCACAGAACAGCTGTGGCGGCGGCCTCGTCGCCAGCCTCACGGTCCTAGCTCATTCAGCCCGCGTGGGAAAAGTCTTGGATGGCAATATAAGTCCTACCTCTGTTCTTGCTGTGCTTTTTATGTTTAAAATACAGTGATGCCCAAGGCTCATTCCAGGGAATACTGCTGTGTCAGAAAAAGGGTTCCCAAGAAGGAATTTTGTTGTTGAAAAAGGTGTTAGGATTTCTAACGTGACCACACCGAGCCCTGCGAGGGAAAGGGATTCGAAGGTGTGGGAGGCTGTTGTGGAACCAGCTCTGTGGGCCTGGTCCTCTGTGCTGCCGACCCCTCTGTCCTGGCGTGTTGTTACCGCCGAGCGATGCGTCTGGCCCGCACTGGGGTCCGGTGGGGGAAACGTGTGTGATGTCCTCAGTTGTTGCTTGTGGTGGATTTCAAATTGCCCCCCATCTGGGGAGAAGGACCGAGCAGCACTGTTGGTCTCCTCTGCTGTTGAGCCCCGTGGCAGGGAAGAGGTGTTGACGGTGGTGTCTGGGGGGTCCGGGGTCCTGAGATGCAGGCTGTCCTGCCAGGGACCCGGCACTCAGGTTCATTCATTGTCACATCTGCTCGTATCTGGGGGGAGAAAGAAGACCCAGTAGTGAGAAACGATCGGTTCCTCCCTAAGGGCAGCTTCTGTGAAAGAAACGCCGCTGTTGAATAGCTTCCCCATGTTTACAGTTGCCCCTTCGTGGCGGGGACACTGCCGCCCGCTTCTCTCTGGCGGCTCCCAGTGGGTGGACGGGGCATGGGAGGGCCTGCGGTTCCAGCCGGCTCTGAGCAGCCCCGTTAAGAGTCAGGTGAGCTCGGTGCCTCATGCTGCCGCGGCTCTGAGCTCGAGTGGAGGGTCATCTGGTGTCGGTCAGCACGACATCGGGATGTTAAAATATTTTGAGAAGAGAGAAGGGGCTCGGGTAGAAAGGTTGAATTCAGGGGTCAGCAAACTGTGGTATATGGTCCCATGAGCTAAGAATGGTTTTTTACCCCTTTCAGGGAGTTATAAAAAAAATTAACTCATGGGCAACAGAGACCACGTAGCCTGCAAAGCCTAAGATGTTTATTAGCAGGCCCTGTGCAGAAAAAGTTCGCTGACCCCTGGGTTTATTGGACAGCCCAGGGCTACCCAGAGCCCTCTTGGGAGAAACTGGGCACATGTGAAACCTTCCGGGCCTCATGAGGCCTCAGGCCAAATCCTTCTCCCAACCCAGACCTTGCAGCCCACCCCCAGGGTGTCTCCTGCAGGCGGGTGGCTGTGTGTGGTCGGGACACTCCCGGCTGGTCAGCCAGGTTAATTCAGTGAAACTAGAAAGCCTTCAAGGACCAGCCAGATTCTGAAAGTGGATGAATGAGTTGCCACCGGATGTTGGTCAGAATGGGACCCCCGACAGCCACCATTCTAGAAGCACCAGGCAGGGTCTTCGGGAACCTGGCTAGTCCATATTTCAACTAATGCGAGAGTTTTGTTTTTGGTTTTTTGCAAAAACCCTCTCTCCAAGAACTTTTTCTCCCTGATCGTATCCTTTTAATTTTTAAAAATATATGTTATTTTACTTTATAGGAACTTATTTTTCCCACCACCATTCACTGAAATCACCTTAAAAGGTGATTATTCACTTTCCCCAAAAACCCTGTTAGGTTTCTCTCTCTCTCTCTCTCTCTCTCTCTCTCTCTCTGCCAACAAAAGCATATTCTCAAAAAAAAGGAAAAAAAAAATCAAGTCCAATATGTCTTGCCAAATTAAATTTCATGTGGTGGATCAATTTTTGTGTCAAAATAATCCTTTAGGTTTGGTGATGACAGGCTGTTTTGCTTTTCTAAAACCATGTGTATGAGAGTGATATATTTTTGAAAACTTTAATTTTGAAAGCCATAATTTTTCTTATCCCGTGAAAGGGTGGGAGGAGGATGACAAGTCTGAGTGGGTTTTTGGCTTTTGTCAAAATGATCGGTGCATTTTCAGAAGCACAATTTGTATATTAACATCAAAACCAGGGACCCATCTTCAGAGCAAAATGAAGAGACATTCTTGACCCACAGACCCAGGTCAGTTGCGTGTTGACATCTGGCAAATTGCTACCTGAAATATACTGACGAGCGCATCCCGCCAGGCCGGGGGGGGGGGGGGGGGGGGTGCACCTTGGCAGACAGGTCATCAGGTCATGCTGCTCTCTGAAGGGAAGTTTTGCCCCCCTAAGATGCACCGTATCCTGACCGATGTTCTGTCTGTAATCTTAGCTGGTGGGGAAGATTCTTAAGGCGAGCGGCAGGAGTGAGAGGCAGGGTGTGTGCCCTGGAAGTCCATGACATCAGTGACTGCCCCCTTCGTGGAAGGCCGTTGTCAAATTAGGAGAGATCAAACATTTTCTCAGCTGTGTTTCATCTTCCACCTCACCTTCCCCCCCGCTTTTAGTCACATGGCACGCCAAAGGTTCGGGGGAACTAGATCTTCCTGTTGCACTGGTCCAGGGGGGTCACCTGGCCAGGAGTTGTTAGGTATAAGGGGGAAACTGATCCTGGAGCGAGGAGATGCTGCTCTGACGATGTCGATTTCCATTTCTTTGTCGTGGAGCGATGTCTGTCATTGCGTGAGCTTCTTAAGAAGAAGGTTCTTCTTACTCGTGCGATTTCCCTGCCTCCTTCGTCTCAGACCCCTGGGCTGGTGACAGCTCTCTGCCAGGTGATGAGACCCTGTCCACCTGGTGTGCAGGTCACTCACCAGGCCCTCGGTGGCTGCACTGTCCAACCCCCCTCTGTCCACCCGCCCTCGCAGCTAAAGGCATTCCAGCCCATCCCAAAGCCTCTTCCCTCATGGGTACACCCAGAGGATGCCCCAGGATGGAGCCAAGTTTGCAATAGAATTAACACTTTGAGGACAGCCCTGTACCCTGGCGGTCTTGTTTCTCCCCACAGGCCCGATCCTAGAAGGTAGAGGAATCCCCCTGCTCCCCCGGGGCTCTTTCTATTGGGAACAAACACTGTATCATTTAGTCAAGATCATGTAAGTCACCTCCCCCAAGGTGTCCGAAGAGGGACTTGCTCTCTGTTGCCTGGAAATGCTTGACGCCAGAATACATTTCACCCAACCCTCCCCTGGCTCCCCACCTAACAGGGCGCCCATTTCACCTCTGGCCGTGGAGCCAGGCAGGCTGGGAAGATGGTGACATCTGGACAGGGCGGTGCAGGGCCGCCCGCTCTGGTCCACCCCGCAGGCTCTCGCTGACGCTGCTTGCCAAACCAAGGTAGTTGATTGACCCCCATGCTCAGCTACTGGTCTTTTTATTGTCTGCTCTGCCATGGAATGCCTGTTGTGTTTGAGTTCACTCTGCATATATATATATATATATTTGGATATAGATATATATATATAAGTATAACTTGAATCATATCATCATGTGCATCACTTCTCATTCACACACGCACTGTCCCCACGCTCTGAGGCGGATCCCCTGGAGTGACGCTGTGTGGTGCCACACCCTTGGTAGCTCCGGACAGGACTGCCCTGTTCTGGTCCTGGAGGAGGTGCTGCGGCCCTGGCCTCGGCCCTGACACGGGAGGCTCCCCAGCCAGACCCCCAGTGCCCTGCTGTCCTTCCTGTCGGCTGTGCTGCACCAGGAGGTGGCTGCTTCCCCCCTCCTTGGACACTGTAATTATTTGTTTTACAATTGAGTGCCTTAATCATAGTTTACAAATACTGTGTATTTATGGGAAAGTGCTAAGCTCTCACCTTCTGTGATTGGATACCTGGCCTTGTCCGCGGTGGTTGGCATTAGGGCGGGAGCTTGCCCTGCCGCGTCCTTGTGCTCATCTGCTGTGCAGTCTCGCGTGCACGTGCACCCACACCTGTCCGAGGAGCGTGGCTCGAACCGGCTCTGGGAGTTCCTGCAGGCGAGGCCGACCCTGGCCCACGCCTCGTCCCGTGATAGGGAGGGAAGACTAGAACTTGGTGTGCTGGCAGCTGGGGGTGCTGACGGCAGCCCAGCCCTCACCCGTTCCCCCGTCACACAGCTGTCCTCTTCTTTAATAGAGGTTTTTATTACCGCCTAGGCCACCCCGTTTTCCTCTCTGTTGGTGTCCTGAGCTCTTTGCAACAAAATGCAGGTACAGACACCCTCCCCTCACCCCCCCACCCCCAAAATCAGGAGCTCCACAAGATGGTTGCCCTTTGGTTTTCAGAAGCTGCCAGTGGGTTCCAGTGTGTTGTGTAATGATACCAATTTTTTTTATTATATTGTTTTTTTTATAGTATATATTTAAAAGGCAGTATCTTTTGTACTGTGAATTTGCAGTAGAAGATGCATAATGCACTTTTTTTTTTTTACTTCTGTTGGTGTGTACTGTATATAGTCCGTGTGCTTCTTGTGATGAAAATAAACGTTTTCTTTATAAATGCCTGATGACCTGTGAACTTGTGCAACAGGGAAACCGCCTGCTCCACCCTCGCCGAGGTAGTCAGGTGCGTCTGCATCACCGCGATGGCCGGGCTTTCCTGACCACCTACTGTGTGCCCGGCCCCATGCCAAAATCCCGGACAGTTTAGACCCAGGGGAGGAAAGAGCTCCTGCAGGAATTGTCTTTTCCCCTGATTTTGCCAGTGAGGGAGAGCGGGGCCCAGAGCGCTGCCCCGGGCGGAGTGGGACTTGGACTTGGAGTGATGTCTCTTCCTGCACAAGCGGGAAATGTAGAGCTAGAGGTGTGTGTGCTGGAGAGAAGCACCGAGCAGGCTGCAGGCACTGCATTCGTGTTTGCTGCTAATGCCCAGGGCAGGGCTCCGAGGAGTCCCAGGCACTGACACGGCAAAGGCTTCTTTTTTTTTTTTAATAGGTTTTTATTGATTTTTAGAGAGAGAGGGAGAGAGATAGAAATATCGATGAGAGAGAAACATCCACTGGCTGCCTCCTGCTGGGGATCAAGGCCGCAACCTGGGCATGTGCCCTCACTAGGAATCGAGCCCGTGACCTCTTGGTACGTGGGCCGACGCTCAACCACTGAGCCACACCGGCTGGGCGGCCAAGGCTTATTTCCAGCTCAGGTCCCAGTCCACTGCAGGTCAGGACTTTTCCGATGCCTCTCCTCCCTTGGTGACCAGCAAAGCCAGGCTGCTTGCATTTAACACCCTGCCTTCTTGGCGTTCTTGGCTTCCAGCTGTGCATTCGGTGGGGAAAGAGCACGGGGGCTCGTGTTCACGCTTAACCGCCTTTGGCTGCGATACCTCATGTCTGCTCACGTTCCAGTGGGCGAGGCCTGTGAAGTGGCCCCACCCCAGCTGCCGGGCCGGGAGATGACAGGTGCACCTGTGCCTGGTGAGGGCTGACTGCCCACCCCCCCCCACCACCACCCCCCGGGCCTTGGCGTGACCCCTACATTCCAGTGCCCTCGGACCCAGAAAACACTTTACCTGGGCTTGCTCTGTCTCTGATCTGGACTCGGAGGAGATTGATGGGTAAACTGGATGGAATGGGAGTTTATGGCTTTACAACAGGAATTGTAGGCGTGGAGCCGGCCAGTGTATTCTCACTAGCACACTGAGTCCTTCCCGATAAAAAATCTCCATGTGAGGTCAGTGATGGTCAGGAATTGCTTACAGTCTGAGATCAGTCCGTCCGTGAGATGACTAATGGTGAGCTGGACGTGGCCTTCCCTGTAGGATGTTTTCACAACAACCTCTGAGGGTCACGGTTCCGGACGCTCTTCCTCGGCAAAGCTGGACACACCTAGTATTTGCTCCTCAGGCTCCAGCCGTGAATCAGAGCCCGGCGCTGGGTCCCCTGGGAGTTCTGTTGGCCGAGGTTCGGAGCCACTGGAATAAAAAGGTGATGCAATCCAGCAGGCTTCCACTGTGCTAGTTACAACCCCATGAACGCATGCTTTCTGGAGACAACACCCACGCCGCCCTAACAAAACGGGTTTTCTCAAAACTCGTCAGATACTCACTCACGTTTTCTCAAAACTCGTCAGATACTCACTCACCCCGGGGCCCTCGGAGAACGTTCCTGGAACGGGCTGTTTTCACCCTGATTCCGCCCGCCGAGTAGCAACCCTGAAGTTGCGAGTGATCCCAGATCACCCCTCCAGCGGGGGTGGCTTCGCAGGGAGCGCGGGCTTGTCTGTGCTGCCTGGAGAAGCCCCTCTTGGCAAGATGCTTGGAAGAGGCTCCAGCAGGCAGAGCTTGGAGGATGACCACATGAAAAACATTTTTTTATTGATTGATTTAAGGGAGAGAGAGAGAGAGAGAGAGAAACATCGACTTGTTGTTCTGCTTATGTATGCGTTCATGGATTGATTTTTTTTTAAATTTCTTTATTGGTTAAGGTATTACAAATGTGTCCTCACCCCCCCATCATGGGTTGATTCTTTTTTTTAAATATATTTTATTGATTTATTTTTACAGAGAGGAAGGAAGAGGGATAGAGAGTTAGAAACATCGATGAGAGAGAAACATCGATCAGCTGCCTCCTGCACACCTCCTACTGGGGATGTGCCTGCAACCAAGGTACATGCCCTTGACCGGAATCGAACCTGGGACCTTTCAGTCCGCAGGCCGACGCTCTATCCACTGAGCCAAACCGGTTAGGGCTGGGTTGATTCTTATATGTACCCTGACCACAGATCAAGTCTGTAACCTTGGTGTATCGGGACCACGGTGCCACCCACTGAGCCACCCAGCCAGGGCGGGGTGGCTGCATTTTAGGAGGATTTACTTCACAGTGGGAAAGCCCTTTCCAAAGGAGATGTCCACCAACAGTGCGCAATGTGAGGCCTGCCCCCAAAACACTGCCCCTCGTCACGCACCCGCGCGCAAGGGAACAGGATAGACTTCTGCACCCTGTGTGCGCCCGGCACTTCACACAAGACGTGGAGTCCTCTAAGGGGCCCTCTGGGCGCTATCCTCCGTTTACAGATGAAGAAACAGGCCTGCAGAGAGTTTGCCCAGGGTCATTTGCCCAAGGTTTACATCTCGAAGGCGGTGAAGCCAGATGGGTATTGCTCCTGCCCCACTGACACCTTTCCCAGCGCTGCCCCCACCCAGAAGTCGAAAGCAGCAAGCCGAGACTGCATCTTGATCTCACAGGAGCCTGAAATGAAGCCTCCGGCCCCTGGGAAATCTGACCCACATCCTGCTCCCAGGGCTCCCTGGGTGACACACGGTGTTTCCCTCCTCCAGTTCGTGCTCGCCGTGGTTTGCCTTTTAAAGGGAAACTGCGCCCGGCCGGCATGGCTCAGTGGCTGAGTGTCAACCTATGAACCAGGAAGTCAAGGTTCAATGCCCTGTCAGGGCACATGCCCAGGTTGTGGGCTAGATCCCCGGTGTGGGGCGTGCAGGAGGCAGCTGATCAATGATTCTCATCGATGTTTCTTCCTCTCTCTTTCCCTCTCCCTTCCTCTCTGAAATCAATAAAAATATATTTTTAAAAAATAATTGGAGAATTAACTGATGATGGATGCAGACTCCCTTCTGCCCGGCACACCATCCATGCGGACTCAGTGGTGGCCGGGATCACTGGTACTGGCAGCGGGGATGGTGGGGAGGGAGGCAGGAGGGAAGTAGCTGACACTGAGCATCTTTCTCATGTGTTACCGGGTGGATCCTCACAGTAAATGTGAGCCTGTGTTACAAAAAGGCGGAAGCTCAGAGAGGTTAGGTAAGATGGGTCAGGGCCACACAGCCAGGAAGGGTCCAAATTCACTCACTCTTTACAGCTGTGGGCTATAAGCTTCTCCAGGCTGCTGTGCCCACTCTCTGAGCATCTGAGGGGCTGGCAGTGGAACCGGGAGGCGTGATGGTGCAAGGGTAGTAATCAGGGCTGCCTTCGTGGGCAGTTACACACGACTCCACACTTACAAGACCCTGCAGTTGGTCTAATGCTCTCCTGTCCCCATTTTAATATTTCTATTAATTTTTAAAATACATTTTTATTGATTTCAGAGAGAAAGGGGGAGAGAGAAACATCAACGATGAAAGAGAACTATTGATCGTCCCCCACTCTTCCCCCCCGCACACCCCACATTGGGGATAGAACCCACAACATGGGCATGTGCCCTGACCGGGAATTGAACCGGTGACCTCTTGGTTCATGGGTCAATGCTCAACCACTGAGCCACACCAGCTGGGCTCTGTTGATTCTTTAACCAGCAAATTACTTAGCTGGTCCTGGCACTGTCACCACACTGGTCAAGGGCTTTGGAGCAAGACAGCCCTGGGTCTTGCTCCCTAACTTACCCACTGTGTGACCTGGAGCAAGCGACTTCACCTCTCTGTGCCTCAGTTTCCTCATGTGGAAAGCAAGAACAACCTCAGAGTGGTGGTGTAAAGATTAGCACTGTGTAATTAGCCCAAAGTAAATACCACTGAAATGATATATTATTTGCCTTATAAAGTACTTAGCACAGGTCCTGGCTCAAAGTAATCCCCCCGTGAGTACAGTAGTCGCTATAATCGTGGGGAAGACACAGGTCGCTGCCCACGGACCAGCCCTGCGGCCTGCCAGCCTCCCTCCCCACCCGGCTCCCTTAGGATGGCTCCAAAGGACAGAGAGGAGCAATTGCAAGCTCCCTGGACTAAGAGGGACTCCGCTGGGATGTGCACATGCGTCCTCCGCCCCCCACCCCCCCCCACCCCGCTGCCACTGACCCCAAGGATGATTCTGGCTCTGCCTCTCTCCCATATAAACACCATTTGTCCCGACCTGGACCCCCAGCAGTTCCACCCATCAAGCCTTTGGAGAGGGGAAGGCGAGGGCAGCCTGGGCGCGTGGGCTGGTCCCCGCTGCGATCCAGAGGCACATCCTGTTCCGGTGTTGCCATGGCACAGCCAAACATCTGCCACAACAGACGGCTGGGGCTGGGCTGGCAGCGGGGCCATGGACGGGTGAGGGCCCGGGCAGGCATGGGAGGCAGGGTGGAGGGGCCACAAGACCCAACAAGACTTAAGCCTGGGAAAGAACCCCTGCCCCGAACACATGCATACACACAAATACACATACATGGCACACACCCATGCATACGTGCAAGCTGGCCTTCTAGGACAGGTGGACTTCCCAGAGGCAAGCGTTCCTGATTCTCAACTTTCTTCCTGGAGGTCCCGGAAGGAGATCCCAAATGCGCAGTCCTGGCAGGACTGGGCCCTCCTGAATTCTCACCCAAGTCCCATCCTGCTCCCAAGATGGGAATTCGCTGAACTGTTTGTTATTGTTTTTCCTGATTAGAAAGTAAAACACAGTCGCTGTAACAAAATCACATGACCCAGAGGAGTGGCAAGAGCTGCACTCATGGCCTATGAGCCAGCCAGCTGCTGGGCCTCAGACCTCTCATTCAAAATAAGTATAAGAAGGCGCCCCAGGCCTCTGATTCAAAACCTGTGCTCTGTTTTTTAAAAAATATATATTTTTATTGA